CGCCAGCCTCCTGCTCCCTGGGTGGCCGCAGAGGGTGGCAGGTGCTTGCCGGGCGGGGCACTCTGCAGGGGGAGGGAGGTCAGAATCATTGAGGGGCATCAGAAGTTGGGGAGGACGGGTCGGGGACAGGCTGCCCATTGCACAGATGGAGAAGCTGAGGTTCTTGGGACCTGGGTGGGGCTGGACTTGGCAGGAGCTGGGCACTGGAGGAGGGGCTGGGGCACAGCCGTGGAGGAGCATAGCACAGTGCTGAGCACCCAACAGGCAAAACCTCTGCTTCCCGGGGCTTCTGCTGGGCTGGAGGTGACGAACAGCAGACGCGATAGTGATGTCGGGTGGCTGCGGCGTCCCGCTTCCAAGGAGAGGGGAGGGTCTGGAGCTTTGGGGGTCCTCCTGGGCAGGTGACCCTGAGCTTAGTGAACCCTGTGAGGCAGGGGGGAGTGGGGAGGGGCTTGGGCTGCAGCATGGTGGTGCCAGGTGCCCATGGCTTTCTGTCTTCCCGGCTATCCCGCTGGGCCTGCTGACCCTGCAGGTGTCCCGGCTGGGGAGGGGGTGCCGGGGTGCGGATGGGAGCAGGGGTCCCTGTTTGGGCTGCAGCTGAGGAGGCACGGGCACCTGGAGGGGGTCCCGTAGTAATCTGGTCTCCCCTTGGAGGTGTCGCCCCGGGAGGAGCCGATGTCCCCAGGGGGAAGGGAGCGAGGGAAAAATGAAAAGAGCTCGCTTTACTTAATTATGACTGATGGTGACAGCTGGTATCTCAAGTCTGCAAAGTATGTACCGGGTAAGGCCTGCTTTTCTCAATCGGGATAATTATGTTAATTAAAATGCTTTCTTTATAGCGGTTCTGATTAATAAAAACCGTTCCACTGCTCTCTTTAAGCACTCGAACCTTCTGCCACATGGGGAAAGAGGCCCTTGCTCAGCAATTCACGGGTCCCCACACAGAGTCCCAGGGCGACCTGCTGCCCGGGGGGCCTGGGGGTGGTGCTAGGCTCGCGCACGTGGGGCAGGAGGCGGGCTGGGGCAGGCGCTGGGCTGGCCGTGGGCGGGCCAGGGCAGGCGCTGGGCTGGCTGTGGGTGGGCCGGGGCAGGCGCTGGGCTGGCTGTGGGCGGGCTGCTGCATCTGCCTTGACTTTCCTAATTGCTGTTTGTTTGCTCTGGAAAGCAGGGCGATAATTAACGAGCTCCCAATTAAGAAAAATTACAAGTTGGGGAGCAAGGTGCCTGGGCCAGGGGTGGGGCTGGAGTGAGGTGGGCGCAGCCTGGGTGGGGCAGGTGAAGGGTGGTGGTGGCTGGAGGTGACCACAGAGTCCCTAACGAAGAGGGTGGTGCTCATGGGGGTGCTATGCGCTGGCAGGGGGTAGGCACCCAACCTTGGCGGCAGGTGGGGGTTCTGGGCCCAGTTCCTCGCTGGCTCCCTCTGCTACTGTCCCAGCCTTCCCCTGCATCCCAGCTCTCCCTGGCCAGAGACCACCAAGGGGGCTCAGGGAACTGTCCCCTATCGTGTGAGTGTGAGCACATGTGACAGCAGCGTGTGCATGTGGGTGAGGGTGTGTGAATGTATGGGAGGGGGTGAGCATGTGTGTGTGCATGTGTGGGGGTTGGGTCAGGTGGGCATGCATGTGTGTGTGTGAAAGCAGTGTATGCATGTGGGTGAGGGTGTGTGAACACGTGTGTGCATGTATGGGAGGGGGTGAGCATGTGTGTGTGCATGTGTGGGGGAGGGGTGAGGTGGGCATGCATGTGTGTGTGTGACAGCAGTGTGTGCATGTGGGTGAGGGTGTGTGAACACGTGTGTGCATGTATGGGAGGGGTGATCATGTGTGAGTATGTGCATGTGTGGGGGTTGGGTCAGGTGCATGTGTGACAGTAGTGTGTGCATGTGGGTGAGGGTGTGTGAACACGTGTGTACATGTCTGGAAGCATATGAGCGTGTGTGTGTGCGTGTGTGGGTGAGGGGTGAGGTGTGCATGAGTATGCATGTGTAACAGCAGTGTGTGCATGTGGGTCAGGGTGTGTGAACATGTGTGTGCATGTGTGAGGGTGGGGTCAGGTGCATGTGTGACAGCTGTGTGTGCCTGTGTGTGCGTGTGTGTATGTATGTGAGCATGAATGTGTGCATTGTGTGAGTGTGAGCATGTATGTGTGCGTGTGTGTGAGCATGGGTGTGTGTGGGAGTGTGTGTGCACATGAGGACGGGGACTGTGGTAGCCACAGACTGCTGGCCACCTGCTAAGGCCTGGGAGGTCCACCATCCAGGCTGCCCCTCATCCCAGGAGCTGCCCTTGGGGCTTGGGTGGGCTCCCGGTTACCCCTGGTGGTCCCTTGCCCATCTCCCTGACCAGTCTTCCCTGGGGGCCATTGTGAGTGCAGCCCCTGGTGATTCTATGTGTCCTGAGGGCTGAGCGGCACAGGGCCCTGGCCCCATAGGGAGGAGGAGGGCGTTCAGCCGGGCACCAGCCTTTCCAACGGGGGACGAGGTCCGAGATGCCCTGGGTGCACTGTCCTTGGTGCTGGCCTGTGGCCGTGTCTCCCCATGCTGGTCTGTGTGTAGGACACAGGGCCACAGACAGGCCAGTGTTCCTGTCCTCCCCGCACCTGGCGGCTCCCCACTAGACACCCTGGCCAGCCACTGCTGGCCCTGGGCGGTTCCCCAGGACTCTGGCTCCCGCCCTGCCCCCGCCCGGGCTCACTTGCGGCTACAAACGGGGAAATGAGGTCAGGGTGTTTCTGCCGCTTCTCCGCCTGGCTGAGGAAGAGGCTGGCGCCACCAGGGAGGCCCCTGTAGCCCATGGAGCACGTGGGCCGCGAGGGGCAGGGCATGGAGCCCAGCCACAGGGGACTCTGGAGGTGGCCAAGATGGGGGCTGAGGGGTGAAGGCCTGAACAGGTGACACTGGTGGGTCCCGGGCCCCAGCCCTGTCTTGCCCAGGCAGTCGACTCACCTGGCCTGCATCTTGGGGGCCTGGTTTTGCTTGTTTTGTTTGCACATGTGTGGGGAATGCACTTTGCAAATGTGTGCACAGGCGCACAGGCCTGTGTGTGCGGGCGTGGCCGTCCACACGTGTGAGTGCTGCCACATGTGTGTCTGGGGAGCTGGACTTCCTGTGGCGGTCTCTGGAGGTCTCTGTGTGCAGTGTGGGCCCTGGTGGGTGGTGACAGGTCAGAGCTCCAGCCCGTGGGTTGATAGTGAGGGGTCCCTGGGTGCCTGGCCAAGTTCTGTGTTATGCTTTGGGAGGGGGGGTTGCAGCTGCTCTGCCTGCCTCGTGACGAGTTGGGTCCGAAGCAGGGCCCCTCCTCCCTGCTCGCCTCTGGGACCCAGCTCGGCTGGGGCTGGCCTCTCTGATGAGCCCGGCTGGGCTGTGGGGGTCCGAGCATACCGAGCCCCCAGGGCTGTCCCTGCCTCCCACCAGCTGAGCCCCACCCTCTGCCCCCATGGTGTGAAGGCCTCGGGAAGAAGGAGTCAAGATTTCCTAGACAGCCCCCCCGCCCCAGCCCCTGGATCCCCTGCTCAGGGCACGGTGGGGGCTGCAGCCTCCATGGGCCCTGCGGGCTCCTGCATGTATGTGTGCACGCGTGTGTGCGTGCGTGCGGCGGCCTCGTAGGCCGGCGGGGACCTGGCCCGGCCCCCTCCGCTGTATTTACGTGTCTATTTTATGATTTCAATTTTTAATGCCTCTGCTCTTTGAAGACGCTTAATGCTTTCGAGTGGAACATTTCCTTCCAGGACCTGAGCACAGATTGAGGACAGAGCAATAAATCAACTAATAACTGGAACCTCGCTTTATGCTCCACGGCGGAGTTAACCCCCGACTGGCTGTGCGGCTGCTGCTCAGGGGCCGGGGCTCAGGCTGCCGGGGTGGGGGTGGGGGCCGTGCCCGCTCCCCTCCTCCCCCCTCCCCCCACCCAGCTTGCATCTCTCCTTGCTTTGATTTCCTCTCTCAGCTTCTTGCTTTCGCCTCGTCTTTATCTTGTGAGTCCACTCCTGCTCCAAGCAAGTGGGAACAGAGCAACTGTCGGGAAGTGGGGTTCCAGGAGGGACCCTGGCAGGAAGGCTTAGGCTCCTGACTTGCCAGGTGGCCCCTGAGGAGTGTCCTGGCCCCTCTGAGCCTCCAGGGCGCCACAGGGAGAGCAGGATTGGAAGATTTGTCACCAGAGGCGGTCTCGCCCTCGCCCTCCGCTGCCTGCCCCCACGGTGGCTTGGGGAGGGGGAGAGGGGAGAGGTGGGGGTCTCAGGATGCACAGCTGGTGGCAGGCGGCTCTTCACTCAGGTTGTGCGTGTGTGCATCTGTGTTTCTGCAGGTGCCTTAGCCTCCAGGCCACGGGGCACCCTCCCCCCATCCCACCCGGCCTCCTGCCCTTGCACAGGACCCAGGAGAGGGCCCGGTGTGGGGGTGGGGCAGCGTCTGGAGTGAGAGGCTCCGTGCTGCAGAGTCAGGGCTAGAAGCGCACACCCAGGGGCCACGCTGCTGTGTGACCTCGGGTAACTCACTTACCCTTTCTGGGCCCCAGTTCCCCCTTCTACAAAGTAGAGGTGAAGAACAGGCCTCCCCAGTGCAGGGCCCATGCGCGAGCGAGTCACCCCTGTGTGGCACATGTGGTGTCAAGGATCGGCCAGGCTTTCTGTGGGACACACCCTTCTACACAGCAGGTTCCCCTCCCCCAGCTCACCACAAGACAGCAGGGGCCTGCACCAGCCCCAACCTCAGAAACCGGGCGCTCAGCCTGCAAATGAGCAGCAGCCAGCGGTGGCTTCCTGGAGGCGGTGGCGCTAGCACTTGGCCTGGGGTGGACGGGCAGGACAGTGGGCCCAGACGGGCAGGGAGGAGACCTTGAGAGCTGCGGGGCCCAGCGGGAAGTGTTGGCATTGGTTCAGAGGAAGCCCCTGCAGGCCCCAGTGACGGACGGAAGCGGGGAATGGAGGGCCAGCACTCAGCCGGCAGCTGCTGACACACACAACTGTGTCTGTCTTCCTCTCCCTCTCTTTTCTTTCTTTCTTAGATTATTTATTTCTTTGAAAGCAGAGTAACACACAGAGACAGACAGACAGAGAGCTTTCTGCTGGTTCATTCGCCAGATGCCTGCAGCAGCCGGGGCGGAGCCAGGTTGAAGACAGACGCCCAGAACTCCATCAGGTCTCCCCCTGCCTTCCCAGGTGCGTTAGCAGGAAGCTGGATTGCAAACAGAGCAGCTGGGGCTAGACCCGGAGTTCTGAAATGGGATACTGGCGCTGCAAGTGGCAGCCTAACCTGCTGCTGTACCCCATTGCCGGCTTCTGTCCTCTCTTTGTCAGAGCGTGGTTTTGTGGCTCGCCCCAGGGCTGGTGGTGGAGGTGGGATTTGAACTCGTGTCTCCGACCCTGGAGCTCGCTGCACTGGGGACTTGAGTACCAGCACCGCGGGTTGCAGAAGGGCGACCTCTCCCCGATGGTGTCCTGCTCTCTCGGGATGCCCCTGGTATGGAGACCTCACCACCTCTCGGGACAATTTGCTATGGTTCCACTTGTTTTCACAGTGACATTCGGTTGTCACAGGTGTGCCAGACACAGCATGACACATTAATGTCCTGTGTGTGACCACCTGAGCTTCAGCCACACCCACTGGCCCCTGGCACTCAGGATTTAAACCAAGACTACACCAAGTGGTCCTTTTCGCACCTTACAGCTTTTGGGGGCCATAAAACAGCAACTTTAAAAAATGCGGCTGGCAGCTCTGGGCAGCAGAAGGCAGGGAGATGATCCTGTCCTGGAGTCGCCGGTGCCTGTGGGCCTGGAAAGGTGTATTCCCACAGGCTCACCTGGGCTGGGAGAAGCAGGGAGGGCCTGGCCCTGCTGTGCACCTGTGCGGGCGGGCGCTTCCTCAAGCTACTGGGGTGGACTGGGAGTTTGAAAATGCTAATGGGGCCATGGTGGGACACCTGGGGACAGGAGGCTGCCCAGGTGAACGGGTACCTGGGGGAGGGCTCTGAAAGAGAAGAGGCAGCTGGTGCAGGGGTGGGGTGTGGGGGAGAGACAAATGAGGGCATTTGCCTGGCATGGTGGGGCCATGCCAGAGAGCTAAGATGAGGGGCGGCCAGGGGATGAGGGGTGGTGGTGACTTGTCAGGGGGCGGGTGTGTGGCCCGGTGGCTAAGATGCTGGTGAAGACATCTTGTCCCACATCGGAGGGCCTGGCTCCGGCTCCTTGCTCCGGCTCCTGACTTCGGCTTCCTGAAGACACATCAGTGGTGGCTCAAGTACTTGGGTCCCTGTCACCCATGAGGGAGACCTAGCCTAGCCCTGGCTGTTGAAGGCATTTGGGGAGTGATGCAGCAGATGGGAGCTCTATCAAATAATTGAAAAAATCCCTGAGGCTGTAGTAGGAGGGGGCAGGAGCGGAGATGGGGCCAGGCAGAAGTGTTGGAGGCCTGGGCCCTGGGGATGGCCGTGGGGGTGGGGGGAGGCAGGGAGTGGCTGTGGGAGTGGGGGGAGGCAGGGAGTGGCCGTGGGGGTGGGGGGAGGCAGGGAGTGGCCGTGGGGGTGGGGGGAGGCAAAGAGCTGCAGACCCTCATGCAGGTGGAGCAGGGACAGGGAGGCCCCTCAGTTCCTGGCACAGGCTTGGGGCAGGAAGCAGATGGGGTCTGCTGTTGGTGACCTCTGGAGAAGAAGTGTGCTGTGGGGGGCAGGGGGGGTCCAAGTCTGGAGCTCAGGACGGGGACGTGGGAGCCACAGGTGGTACTCAGAGAGTGGCCATGGCTGAGGTCCCAAGGAAGCTGTGTGGAGAGAGGAGCAAGGCCTGGACCCTGGCTCAGTGCCAGGCAGAGCAGGGTGAGGCCTTAGGGACCTAGAGAGGGTCCGAGGGAAGGGCAATGTCAGCCATGCACGTCCCCCCCACCGCGGCCCCCTGGAGCTCCCTCCTGTGGGGCTCAGCAGTGCCCAAGCCAGGCTACCGCGTGTGTGCCCCCCACAGTCTGGTTCAGGTCTGGCCAGCTGCATGTGCCCTCGTGTGTGCGTGTGCGTGTCCGCACGACGCATGTTCTGTATAATTTTATCACAGCTTCGTGTCACTGCCGCCACGATCAGGACACAGAGCTGAACTCCCCGCGAGGCCTCCTGTGCCACCACAGCCTCCCCTAGCCCCTGTGCCGCTGATTTGTCATCTCCCGAGTGTCACGTGCATGGGCTCTCGCAGCACCTAACCAACTAGGACTGTGTTGTTAGAACTTGTATTTGTTTGAAAGACAAAGGGACAGTGACAGAGAGGTGGAGTTTACCTATCCTGTGGTTCATTCCCCAGCTAGGGCTGGGCCAGTCTGAAGCCAGGAGCCAGATCTCCATCCAGGTCTCCCACATGGGTGGCAGGGGCCCAGACTTGGGCCACCCTCTACTGCCTCCCAGGGTGCACGTTAACAGGAAGCTGGAACTGGAAGCAGAGACGGGATTTGAACCCAGGCACTCTGATGTGGGATGCAGGTAGCCCAAGCAGCGGCTTAATTCCTTGGTCCAAATGCCTACTCCCAAGACTGATTTTCCAGGGGCAGGTGATGTACACACGAGTTAAGCCACCTCCTGTGACACCATTATCCTATATCAGAGCTCTGGTTTGAATCTTGGCTGCTCCGCTTCCAATCTAGCTCCATGCCAATGTGCCTGGGAAAGCAGCAGAAGATGTCCCAAGTGCTTGGGCCCCTGCACCCGCATGGGAGACCCAGATGAAGTTCCTGGATCCTGCTTTAGCCGGACCAGCGCTGGCCGTTGCAACCATTTGGAGAGTGAACCGGTGGATGGATGACCTCTCTGTATCTCCCTCCCTCCCTCCATCCCTCTCAATCTGCCTTTAAAATAAATTAAATAAATCTTAAAAGAGTGATTGTCTAGAGTCAACGTCATGAAGGGAGGAATTTTAAAAGATGTCACTACAGGCCGGCGCCGCGGCTCACTAGGCTAAATCCTCTGCCTTGCGGCGCTGGCACACCGGGTTCTAGTACCTGTCGGGGTGCCGGATTCTGTCCCAGTTGCCCCTCTTCCAGGCCAGCTCTCTGCTGTGGCCAGGGAGTGCAGTGGAGGATGGCCCAGGTGCTTGGGCCCTGCACCCCATGGGAGACCAGGATAAGTACCTGGCTCCTGCCATCGGATCAGTGCGGCGCGCCGGCCGTGGCGGCCATTGGAGGGTGAACCAACGGCAAAGGAAGACCTTTCTCTCTGTTTCTCTCTCTCACTGTCCACTCTGCCTGTCAAAAAATAAAAAATAAAAAAAGATGTCACTACAGAACACTGTAGAGCACTCCAGAACCGGCTTGTTAGCTGAGGGCAGGGTGAGGGATGGCAGGGGTGGGAAGCAAGGGTGGGTGTGGCACCCCGGGGAGGGAGGGGGATGGGGTGCAGGCAGAAGCAGATTATTCTAGAATGCTTGGGGGCAGGTGAGGGCGTCCTCAGTGAAAACCAAGCCAGGCGGCCTTGGGGAGTGGCCGTGGATGAAGTGAGAAGAGAGCCGCTGTCCCCAGGGCAGTGCGGTGGAGGCTGTGGGTGGGTGGGCCTGGGCTTCGGGTGGGCCGTCTTCTCCATCAGTGCCCGGCTCCCGGCCGTGGGAACCCACAGGGGTCGGTTCTATGAGAGTGTGCGAGGGTGGGGCTTTAGCTGGCCCTGGGAGACCGTGGGCCCCATGCCGGGCAGCGGGCAGCCGAGTGCCAGGCAGAGGTCTCAGCGCGGGAGGAGCGGGGATGGTTGGGGCCGGGGAGAGAGGCTACAGAGAAGGGCAACAGAGGTCACAGGATGTGGGCGGCCAGAGGGCCATGGTGACCTCACCCTGCGGGGCGGCCAGGGTTGGGGTGAGGAAGGGACAGACAGGATCCCCTGTGGCCCGGATGTTGTAAAGCAGCCTCGCAGGGTGGGCTCAGAGGGGCAGGAATGGTCTTGGCTGGAGGGGCTGGAAGGGGCAGGGAGTGCACCAGCCAGGCTGGCCCTGCAGAAGCCTGGTATCTGTGCATCTGGGAGGCAGCCCTGCCATTGCGTGGCAAGCTGAGGCTCTGGGAGAGGAATGAACTTGTCCAAGCCACAGTGGTCAGTCCCCAGCCCCCTGCCTCAGGGCTACAGTCTCCTCCCAGCCCCACTGTGCTTTTGTCCACTGTCACTGTGTAGAGTGGGGACCTCAACCTCACGGGCAGGTGGCTTACAGGGTGCCAGGGTGCCATCTCCTGTCCTGGGAGGGGGGGACATGAGGGACAGAACAATGAACAAGGAACCATGGAAGGCAGGGCAAGAAGCTGGTGTTTAAGGAACTGGGGACTGAAGCTCTTGGAGAAAGAAAGAGCCAGCAACCGTGATGGAGGGGGAGCCAGGTGGGGTTTGGAAGGGCCTGGTGGGGAGGTCAGCGCAGTGGAGAGGCAAGGGGGGCTGCCTGGGGCAGGAAAGGGCTGGGGGAGAGGGGGTGGGGTCCCACTGAGCTGAGGAGGGGGACAGTGAGGCACAGGCTGGTACCTGCTAATCTCCCAGGGTCCCTGGACCAGTGGGGCACATTGGCAGGGGGCTCCTCCACTATGCCCGAGGCTGCAGAGACCCTTGGAGACCCCAGCTGCCCTGTCACCTCCCCAGGTGGATGCCTGAGGTGTCCCCGCCTGGGAAGTCCCCTTGAGCCAACACAAGGCGGCTGAGTCCGCCCAGCAGAGCCCCTTGGTGCACGGGACAGTGGTCACGGGGGACCTGTGGTTTCCAGAACGTGGTTGGGGCAGTGAATCGCGATCCAGCCCGAGCCACCAGCCTCATTAATCTGGTGGCTCCGTGTGCAGGGCCCGTGGTGGTCCCTGATGGACAAGTCACACCAGGCGATCTCATAGCCCAGGGCCTCCAGTTCCTCAGCCGCTCAGCACCAATTAGCCGGCGGTTAGAGCCGGGAGAGCCAGGCTCTTGCTCTCGCTCCATTGCTCAGGGGCTACTGACAAGTTCTCAGATGCTGGGTGCAGGAGCATCAGGTGTGGGTGTGGGCGGGCAGGGTGGAGGCTCCCCAGGCAGCACCTGCCTGCCCCTCCCCCTAGACTTCGCCCCACTCCTCCTGACGGCTCCACTCCCAGGTGCACTTCTTAGGTGCCTGAGCGGCCCCAGGGGAGGGCCTAGGCAGCCCAGCTGGGGTCAGGTGTGGTGCCTGGTGCCACGTGTCCTGCACCTGTGGCTTCTCTACCTGCC